TCTCTGCAAGCTTGATGATCATGCCTTCTAACCCTTCATCTAAGTCATTATCTTTTTTAAAAATATATATATCGAAAAGAAAATAGCATATTTGAACAGATAATATTTGTCTATTGTAAGCATACATTATAATAACATATTTCTATATTATCTACTAGCTTGGGGACCCGGCACTGCCCAGGTTATTTGAGAAAGGAATTGTGTATCAAGGTTGATGTTTATCAGTTATTTATATGGCTCGCAGTGGTCTCAGAAAGTTAGTGAAGGTACTGTGAGTCCCATCATCTGTGGTCCATCCTCCTCCAAACTGCACCAGGATGGAAAGTGGGTCATGGGGGCTCTGTGTGCCAAGTTTGGTCTTGATTGGTCATTAGATGAGTGTTGCAGAAGTCTTGGGAAGTGAGTGGAGGTACTTGAAGTCCCATCATCCATAGTCTGTTCTCCCCCAAATCTCACCAGAATATTGAGTTGGCCATGGGGGCTCTCTGTGCCAAGTTTGGTCTTTATTGGTATTTGGATGAGTGTCACTGTGGTTTCAGGAAGTGAGTGAAAGTACTGCAAGTCCCATAATCCATAGTCCATTCTCCCCCAGACCTCACCAGAATATTGAGTTGGTCATGGGGCTCTCTGTGCCAAGTTTGGTCTTTATTGGTATTTGGATGAGTGTTGCTGTGATTTCAGGAAGTGAGTGAAGGTACTGCAAGTCTCATCATCCATAGCCTGTTCTCCCCCAAACCTCACCAGAATATTGAGTTGGTCATGGGGCTCTCTGTGCCAAGTTTGGTCTTTATTGATATTTGGATGGTGTCGCTGTGGTTTCAGGAAGTGAGTGAAGGTACTGCAAGTCCCATCATCCATCGTCTGTCCTCCTTCAAACAGCAAATGGGCAACATATATGAAATGGGTTGAAGAAGGCAAAGCCAGCACAGATATTGTGGAAAGATTTCAAAAGTTGCCTTCATCTAAGCCATTAATAGAGATGTTTCCTCAATGGTTAAGGTAAGGCAGAAGTGATGGGCTTTATAGAGGAAGGTGAATGGGAGCTGCACATGAATCAAGCATCACTGTGTGACTGGAGACCCAGCAAGCAACTAAATGTTAACATCAGAAATTGTATGTTTGAACTCATTTCAAGCTGTGCCTTCTCTTCATGCTGGCTTGTGACCCCTGGAGCTAATTCAATCCTCAGGCAAAAAAAAAAGACACCAAAGAAAGCGATACAAACAAACAAACAAACAAGCACCTCCCCTCTTTGCCGTTTCATCCACAAAAGCTGCTGCCTTGAGAGGGTTATTCGATCTTGGGGTTTACTCTCGTATTTTCGTATTTCTGCTGCCGCAGATTAACTAAACATCGTGATCCCCTCAGGAGGTTTTGTATTATTTAAGCACTCACACAACCTATTTAACCCGAGGCAACAGTAGAATGAAAGAAAACCAAGGGGCAAAAAGAGACAACTTTTTTTCTCCTCCCTCTCTATTTGCAGACTGTTTTCCAGTTATGCTCTGCTTTTAAAAATTGCCACACAGAGAAAGATACACAAAGAAACATCTTGTTACATCTGCAAATAAAAAAAAAGGAAAAAGAGAAGGTTTCCAATAAAATGGGATCTCTGAATTGGAGGGGGTCACAAGGACCATGTAATTCAGTGGTTCTCAACCTTCCTAATGTCGCAAGTCGCGACCCCTACAGTTCCTCATGTTGTGGTGATGCCCAACAATAACATTATTTTCATTAGGTTCTTGTGGGTTTTTTTGGGCTATATGGCCATGTTCTAGAGGCATTTTCTCCTGACGTTTCGCCTGCATCTATGGCAAGCATACTCAGAGGTAGTGAGGTCTGTTGGAATTAGGACAATGGGTTTATATATCTGTGGAATGGCTGGGGTGGGGCAAGGAGCTCTTCCTTGCTGGAGCTAGGTGTGAATGTTTCAACTGATCACCTTCATTAGCATTTGAAGGCTTGGCTGAGCCTGGGAAAATCCCCTGTTGAGAGGTGTTAAGATGTGCCTGGTTGTTTCAGCAAAGGACAAGAGGGATCCTCTCACCTCTGCAAGAGTCTACCGTATACCATGCAGCTGTGGACAAGTCTACATAGGGACCACAAAATGCAGCATTGCCCAAACACGAATCAAGGAACATGAAAGGCACTGCAGACTACTTCAACCAAGAAGTCAGCCATAGCAGAGCACCTGATGAACCAACCTGGACACAGCATATTATTTGAGAACCAGAAATGCTGGACCACTCTAACAACCACCATGTCAGACTACACAGAGAAGCCATTGAAATCCACAAGCATGTGGACAATTTCAACAGAAAGGAGAAACCATGAAAATGAACAAAATCTGGCTACCAGTATTAAAAAACTCAAAAATTATAACAGCAAAACAGCAGAGAGGAAACAAACAAGGACATCTAATCACCTCCCAACAGGGTATTTTCCCAGGCTCAGCCAAGCCTTCAAATGCTAATGAAGGTGATCAGTTGAAACATTCACACCTAGCTCCAGCAAGGAAGAGCTCCTTGCCCCACCCCAGCCATTCCACAGATATATAAACCCATTGTCCTAATTCCAACAGACCTCACTACCTCTGAGGATGCTTGCCATAGATGCAGGCGAAACGTCAGGAGAAATGCCTCTAGAACATATAGCCCAAAAAAACCCACAAGAACCTAGTGATTCCGACTATGAAAGCCTTCGACAATACATTATTTTCATTGCGACTTCATAACTATAATTTTGCTACAGTTATGAATCGCAGTGTAAATATCTGATATGATATTTTCATTCACTGGACCAAATTTGGAATAAATATCCAATACACCCAAATCTGAATACTGGTGGGATTGGAGTGGATTGATTTTGTCATTTGGGAGTTGTAATTGCTGGGATTTATAGTTCACCTACAATCAAAGAGCATTTGAACTCCACCAACAATGGAATTGAACTAACCTTGGCTCACGGAACTCCCATGACCAGTAGAAAATACTGGAAGGGTTTGGTGGACAGTGACCTTGAGTTTGGGAGATGTAGTTCACCTATATCCAGAATGCACCATGGATTTGAAAATGATAGATCTGGACCAAACTTGGCATGGATACTCCATATGCCCAGATGTTAACACTGGTTGAGTTTGGGGGAAATAGATCTCAACATTTGGGAGTTGTAGTTGCTGGGATTTATAGTTCACCTACACTCAAAGAGCATTCTGAACTCCACCAATGATAGAATTGGGCCAAACTTCCCACACAGAATGATAGAATTGGGCCAAACTTCCCCCATGGCCAACATAAAAGACTGTATTCGGTGGTCAGGGGAGCATTCTGAACTACATACAGAGAGCACTGTGGACTCAAACAATGTTGGATCTGGACCAAAATTTGCACAGATACTCAATATGCCCAAATTGAACACTGGTGGAGTTTGTGGAACTAGACTTTGACATTTGGGACTTGTAATAGCTCAGATTTATAGTTCACCTTCAATCCAAGAACATTCTGAACCCCACCAATGATAGAACTGGGCCAAATTTCCCACACAGAATCTCCATGACTAACAGAAAATACTTTGTTTTCTGGTGATCTTTGGTGACCCCTCTCACCCCCCCCCCCCCCCCCCCCCCCCCCACGATCCCCCTCCCGGGTTCCCAAACCCCCAGGTTGAGAAACGTTGATGTAGTTCAACTCTTTGTCAGGTAGAAATGGACAACTATAGCATTCCTCAAAGATGCCCATTCCACCTCTGTATTAAGACCTCAAAAGATGGAGAGTCTACCACTGTCAAGAATGCTGAACAACAAAGACCTTGTCCTCCTTTCTCAAGCTGATACATCTGGAACACATCATGTTGCCATCAGAAACATTCTTTTCCTTTTTTGCTAACTCTTGTGTGTATAAACATACAGAGTTGTGAGGCCAGAAACACCCCGTGTCCTAGGATCTCCACTATCAGACAGCTCTTCTAATCAAGACATTCTCAATGTTTCTCAACCTCCTTTCTTTTATTTTCAACGTATTTGTTCATGTTCTAGGCACCAAAGAGGCAGAAAAACAAGCTCACTCCATCTTCTACATGACATCCCATTGGATACTTAAAGATGGCTTTCCTATCATCTCTCCGTTTTCTCTTGTCCAAGTGAAGCACACCCAGCTCCCTATGTTGGAGGCACCACCCAACTTTCTCTTCTTCTAACCAGACCAGAGACGGTCCTTTGGTTTCAGGTTTTGATCATAGATTTTGGAGCATAGGATATTCTTGACTTAAAAACTCTGTATGTTTATATACACAAGAGCCAGCAAAGAAAGAAAGAAAGAAAGAAAGAAAGAAAGAAAGAAAGAAAGAAAGAAACGCTTCTGATGGCAACACCTTTCCATGTATAGGAGCCCTAGGTGGTACAGTGGGTTAAACCCCTGTGCTGGCAGGACTGAAGACCAACAGGCCGCAGGTTCGAATCCGGGGAGAGTGCGGATGAGCTCCCTCTGTCAACTCCAGCTCCTCATGTGGGGACATGAGAGAAGCCTCCCACGAGGATGGTAAAAAACATTAAAAAAAAGTCCAGGCATCCCCTAGGCAACGTCCTTGCAGCCAATTCTTTCACACCAGAAGTGACTTGCAGTTTCTCAAGTCGCTCCTGACATGACAAAAAAAATATCTTTCCAGGTGATGTGTTCCAGAAATGCCAGTTGGAGGAAGGAGAGCAAGATCTTTCTCCCTCAGTGTCCTTCAGAGCAAGCAATGTCTCCCCTTCCGTCTACTGCTGTTGAAGTTTGATGATCTATTACAGTTTTTATTCTTTATGTCAGTTAAGTTACCATGTCGCAAGGGTTCTATGGTTACTTAGCTACCAGAGTTTGTTTCCATATGCTCCATTCTGTACCATCTTTTTTTAGAAAAGAAAGAAAATAAGGCAAGCAACATAAGTATCTCAGGAAGGTGTGTGGACACCCTTCCTGTTTATTTATTCAATTTTCATTCTAGCCATTAGCGGGCAAGATACGATGCTGTCAAGTAGGAGCAGCCTTCAGTGTTCAACAACCAACCCCAAGGGCAGTTTTCCATTAGGCCCTTTCCCAAGACACATTTGGATCCATCACAATACGCCTCAGGACAGTTTGGATAAAGCTTGCCATGAGATCTGGAAAAGAGTCCAAGGTCTCCCGGAGGAACTCCAACCCAGGTCCTCATCACCACTTCTCCAAGTGAGCTGCCACCCCATTCCATCTTCTGAGGCCCTCCAAGAGGATAACAGTAGTACCAGCAGCAGCTCCCAAAAGGAGTGAGTGCAATGCTTTTAATCTTGTTTGTTTTTGAGTATTTTGAACATGCAAAAAAGTATACCTGAATGGTTGGCAATGGAGAAGATGGATCCATAAGAAAGCAGAGGTTGTAGTTTCATTACTTTAACCTTTATTTATTTATTTATTTATTTATTTATTTATTTATTTATTATTTAAACTTATATGCCGCCACTCCCCTGGGGCTCGGAGCGGCTTACAAGAATAGCTAAAATCTAACAAAGTTTAAAAGCAATTTAAAACAATTTAAAAACAACAGTATCAAACATTAAAAGCCTGTCGAAACAGGTATGTCTTACATGCCCTGCGGAAAGCTGGTAAGTCCCGCAGGGCACGAACTTCAGGTGGCAGAGCATTCCAGAGTGATGGTGCCACTGCTGTGAAGGCTCTGCGTCTGGTTGCTGTTAGACGCAAGGTCTTGACACTGGGGACTTCCAATAGATCTTGGTCCTCAGAACGGAGGATCTCTGGGGTTGGTAGGGGGTGAGGTGTCCCTCAGGTACATCAGCCCCAGACCATGCAAGGCCTTAAAGGTGAGTACCATCACTTTGAAAGTGATCCGGTGCTCAATGGGTAACCAATGCAGCTGTAGTAAGATTGGTGTTATGTGGCATCTCATCGGAATTCCCGCAAGAAGCCGAGCAGCTGCGTTTTGTACCAACTTGAGCTTCCGAATCACCGACAGAGGGAGGCCAATGTAGAGGGCGTTACAGTAGTCCAGTCTTGAGATGACTGTGGCCTGGATCACCGTAGCTAGGTCGTCCCTGGACAGGTAGGGGGCCAGCCGTCTAGCCTGCCGCAGGTGAAAGAAGGCGGTTCTGCTCACGGCGGAGACCTGGGCCTCCATTGTCAGCAGAGGGTCCAAAAGGACTCCCAGACTCTTTACCAATGATGACGGGCGTAACGCCTCGCCATCCAGGGTGGGCAGATGGATGTCCCCACTGCCCGGTCCACCCAGCCATAGGATCTCCGTCTTTGCTGGATTCACCCTCAACCTGCTGGCACGCAGCCATCCAGTAACGGCCTTGAGGCACTGATGGAAACAATCGGGTACAGAGTCCGGTCGGCCTTCCATCTTCAGCACCAGCTGAGTGTCATCGGCATACTGATAACACTCAAGCCCAAAACCTCGAACCAGCTGAGCAAGTGGTCGCATATAGATGTTAAACAACAGAGGGGAGAGAATGGCCCCCTGAGGAACCCCACAAGATAGAGGGGACCTCTCAGAGACCAGGCCTCCCCTCTCCACTCGCTGTCCACGGTTGTGAAGAAAGGAGGACAGCCAGTTTAAAGCTGTCCCCCTGATTCCAGCAACAGCAAGGCGGTGGGTCAAGAGATTGTGGTCGACTGTGTCAAATGCTGCTGTGAGATCCAATAGCACAAGCAGCGCTGACCCGCCCTGGTCAAGCTGGCATCGAAGGTGATCCGTGATGGAGACCAGCACAGTCTCTGTCCCATGCCCCGCACGGAAGCCGGATTGGAAGGGATCTAGTCTGGCTGTGTCGTCTAGGAATTGCTGCAACTGCTCCGCTGCTGCCCTCTCAATCACCTTGCCCAGGAACGAGAGATTTGAAACTGGGCGGTAACTGGAGGGAACCGAGGGATCTAAATCTGGTTTCTTCAGCAAAGGAGAGACCACTGCCTCTTTTAAACCCTCTGGAAAGACTCCTTGCGAGATAGGTCAATCAATCAATCAATTAATCAAAAATATTTTCACCCTAAAGATAACTCATTCCTCTGGCTCCATCCCACTTAATTACTGTTGGAGAATGGTTGCCTTCAAGTCACTTCTGATCAAAAAAGATCATCTTCATCCATCTAGATTCCATGACAATATTAACTTGAAGGCTAGAATACTAAATACATCTATTTATTGATATATTGATACAAGATGTGTGCTGTTTTGCATTCTAGTTGAAAATGTAAGCCCTGAAAATGTAAATAATGGGTTTGAGTAGCATCAAGTATAGCACACAAATCTCTGTGTATTGTACTGCATGTGTGTATGTGTGTTATGAATAACTTTTCAGTAACTTTAAAGCATAGGTTCTTTTTATTGTAATTTCCAGTATGATTGTGTATGTCGCGGCAGATTTGCTACCCGGGATCATGTAGAGCACAATCAGGCAGGAAGGAGACGGAGACTGCAAATTTGATTCCAGGCATATTTACTATCATGATAGGACGCTCAGAAGTGTGATCTGAAGCGTACTAGAAGTCAGTCAGCTTACAATATTTATAGCAAAATTCACTAGTTCAGACATGCGCACAATTGCCATGACATTTACACAGATATAAACATTAACAGAGGTATTTCGCATTACCTTTTCCCATACATCACAATGACATATTATATTGACGTACTTATAATTGTTTCAAATCTTAATTATTCCCATATTCGTAATATATCTGAAGTTACCTGCTATTTACCTCACTGAACCACCAGATGTTACTCTGACCTTTTCCAGCCTCAGATCAATTATCTCTCACTTTATTATTGTTTCCCAAATGTCATGTTCCCGTTAATATTTAACTTTCTTGAGCCTAACCCATGAAGCTGGTTAAGTCAATCATTTACTTTCATCTATGGAACTCTTCGCTCTCTCTACCCAACCTCCCTGCCGCAGAGCTCTCTCTCAAGGTATTCCAAGATATGCTTTTCTATATTCTTTTTAAATACATTTTCTTCCGCTTGCTGCCACATTCCCCCCTTTTTGCGAGCGGATGTTCCACAGTAGACTCGCAAACTCACGCAATTACATTTTTAGCAAAAAAAAATAACATTTAACACAATCATTTATCACAGTTATTGAAGAATGTTCCATACACGTTGGCATCTTCACAGTGCTCCTCATTCTTCTGTCTGATGTATTTAACCCGCGTTCAGATGTAGTCAAAACCAGAGCCGTAGTCCTCCTTCTGGCACTGCTGGTTTGATGATACAAAGTCTCAAAGGAATCCTTTTGGATCAAGAGTCACAGTCCCTTCGAGTGATGCTTTCCTTATTCTAGTATAATGTATCCAGTCTTTTATCTGCAAAGGGGCTATGACCAGCTCTTTTCCTCGTCCCTTTCGGGTCGCGGCCTTTGCTGTGGTATCAGCCTACCAGTTTCCATAGGTCACACATTCCTCGTCACATCGATGTACTCTGCAGTGCATTACTGCTACTGATGCAGGAACTCAAACAGCATCTAATAATTTCAAAATGGTCTCACTATGTTATATTTCTCCCAACAGAATTTAGTAGTCCCTTGTCCTTATATAATGCTCCACATGCATATAAGGTAGTGAATGTATATCTAGAATCTGTATACATGTTGACTATTTTTTCCTTCTAATAACTCCAGAGCTCTAATGAGTGCTATCAGTTCTGCCCTCTGAGCTGGAGCATTTAGAGGAAGTGGTTCTATTTCCCACACAGTAGTTATAGTTATTATTGTATATCCAGCATATCTTTTTCCTTTTTCAACCAAACTACTTCCATCTGTAAAAAGAGTGGCATCTACCTCAGGCCATGGTTAATCTTTTATATCAGATCTATTGGAATATATCTCATACATAATTTCTAAACAATCATGTTGAAGCATTTCCCTTTCAACAAGCAGAAGTGAACCAGACTTTAATATACTGCAAGTCTGTAACTTGATTTAAGAGTTTTCACATAATAAAATCTGATATTTTTGCATATGGCTATTTATGAACCAATGATATCCTCTATAGTTCATGATAGCCATTACTGAATGAGGGTTTTAACTATCAACTCTTGTCCCAAAGTCAATTTATCAGCTTCCTGAGTCAACCAGGCCATAGCAACTACAGCACATAGACAAGTTGGTCAACCTTTTGCTACAGGGTCAATTTGCTTAGACAAGTAAGCTACTGGTCTCGGCCATGTTCCTAATAGCTGGGTATGCACCCCTCCTGCTATTTCATCTCATTCACCAACATAAAGTATGAATGGCATCTTCAATTCAAACAAGCCCAAGGCCGATGCTTGCATCAAAGCTTGCTTTCAACTATGCAAATGTTTGGGCAAATTTGGGGTCCAATTAAATGGTTCCCTTTCACCCCCCTTTGTAACTTCATAAAGAGATCTTATCATTATAGCTGCAAAGCCCTTATTCCAACCACAGTTTTCTTTCCAATTTTTCAACTTGAGCTGAGAGTTTTTCCCGAATTGTCTTATATTTGAAACTGAACCCATAGCAGGGAACAAAATGGCTCCCAACCTTACTCCTTCATTTAAATAAGTTCTGTCTGGATCATCTCCAACCTCTTCATCATAAACTTTTTTTTTTTTTTAAATTGTTCTCTTTTCCAAATCATTTAGGATGGTTATTCTATATATTATCACATCTGCTAGCATTAGGATACCTATCGTGCATGTTCCAACCCAAAAAGGTGGCAAAATCTTTCCTGCCCACTGTCCGCAAATCCGATACAGCCCGGGGAGGGTAACCTTCCCTTTGTTACCAGAGACTTTTTGGCACAGCCTAACGGGTTTCCACCTCCTTTACCATTCTGGCAGGATTTGGTTCCCCTTGACCCTGCGGTACCTCCCTGCTGGGGGTCCTTGGCTGATCACGGTTTTTGCTGGCAGCTTTTTCCTGGGCCTGTTTAATGTGGGTATCCAGTTCTAGTAAAACAACACTATCAAATTTTTCCCATCCATTTAGAATGCTCTAAATGGGCTAAGAGGCTAATGTCCTCGAAAGCCTCTGTTTTAAATACATGGAGAAGGAGATTGCAATAGGGATAATGACCAAGTTCTATTTGGTGAGTATGGAGAAGGTTTTCCTGATCTTGTGTCCCTCTCATTTCTTTCCCAAGTGATACATGCTGGGGCCTCCGGTGAGATCCCTTTATGTGTCACTATAGCTCTGCTCTGGATCAAGTAAGATTTCAATCATCTCATAATTTTGAGGCTGTAAGGTGCTTCATCCTTTTTAACTTAATAGCGTTTCCTACCATTAGTGGCCAT